ACACGGGTTCCAGCATCCGTCTCATGATTTCGTCGACCACGAAATTAAATAAGAATGGAGAAAGTTGGCACACCTGACGGACACCACCCTGTGCATGGAAGCTATTGGAGAGCTTGCCGTATACTGTTACACGTCCGGAAGTCAGAATACAAAGCTTATTATGTTCACGAACTTCTGGGGCATTCCTCGGTGAACAAGCGTGTCAACAGGAACAGACCGGCCAACCCAGTCAAGTGTGCCTTGGAAATCCAGGAATATTAGAATTGTGGGTCAGCCATACGTGTGGCGTTGTTCTAGCACCTGACGAAGTGTAAAGATTTGGTTAACGCAATCCCTACCAGGTCGGAATCCCACTTGTTGCTCTCGGGTCAGTGTTCCACGTGCCACCATAAGGCGACGAAGCACGAATGATGCCAACAGTCTCGTTACGACCGGAGTCAAGCTGATCCCCCTGTGGTTGCCACTCAGTACGAGCCTTTTTTCTAAGTGGGTACTATCAACGACTCTCCCCAGTTGTATGCGACAGACTCCTTTTCCCAAATGCAAGCAAACAGATCAGACAAGTGCTGACTGAGGACTTCACACCCATCGTTGAACAATGTGGGCGGAAGGTCATCCGGACAAGAGGCTCGGTGGCGCTTGAGAGAACATATGCAGTCATAAAACTCCGAGACTGAAGGCGGTTCCACGTTCACCGTTCAGGGTTCTACGTCACCTGTGGGCTCCAGATGAGTGCCAGCTGGTGACCATGGCAACCGTCGTTCGAAGTACTCGGCCCACCGGCCGAGGCGTTCTTTATTCGAGATGCGCACTCCATTTCGGTCCTTGATGGACAGGCTGTTTCCGAGGGCCGGTCTCTTGGATCAACTGAAATAATCTTCGGGCATTATCGTATTTCTGAGCCTCTTCCATTTCCTTGACTTTCTGTGTCCACCACACATCACGGTTGACTTGCGTGCTCACCTTCACTTGACGTCTGATAATTTGTCGCACCAAGTTGTATTCGGCATTGGCTACCGTTTGTGCCACCGTTTGGCCTGATATCCAGTGCTTGAGTGAGTCTGGTGGTGCCGTGCCACAAACAAAATTCCTAGCACTATGCAAAGTAGTGGCGATCTCGTCCCAGTATGAGTTCGCATCTGATGGTGGGGCCTTTGGAAGAGACTGTAGAAGACGATTATGGTAAGTTCGTCTAACACCCGGATTTACAAGTCTCTCAGTTGCCAAGTGATTTGTTCCCCACCTTACGCGGACCTGGAAAACGAAGGGAGAAGCGACTCCAAACAAGCGTGTGGTCGGAATCCACAAATGTGTTTCAAAAGCACCATCAGTCAGTTATAGCCCCACGCCATCGGTAACTGATGGCAATGTGATAGATTTAAGTTTGTGACCGGCCTGCCGTTAGAGGACACCGTGTGACCAAACGACTAAAGCTATTTCGGAAATTATTACTGCATAAAAACAGTCTGTGATCAGCACACAGCTGAAGCAATCGTTCCTCATTGTCCGTACGTGCCGAGTCCAATCCATGTCGATCTCCTAATTGGGTCTGAGGTACGCTAAGTCTGCCCATTTGTGCCTTCAAATCTCCGGCAACCACTACGATGTCTGGGTTTTTAGATCGCCGCTAAAGAGCATTCAGGGCGTCCCGACCTAAAGCTGCCACCGTGACGTACTGTAACGTGAGAAGGCACCAGGACAGGACGGTCTGTATCCAGCCCTCTTCAAAGAAGGCGGAAATCTCCTGGTGACCCACCTGACAAAGCTTATCGGTACCATGTGGGACGAAGAAAAGTGCCTGAAGAATGGGGCATGTCGACAGTTATCCCTATCTTCAAAAAGGGTACACGGACGCTATGCGAAAACCACCGTGGCATCAGCCTGTTAGCTGTGGCATCGAAGGTGCTCTCTGGCCTTATCCTTCGAAGGTTGACTGAACACAGGGAGAGGCAGATCCGTGATTACCAAGCTGGGTTCCGTCCAGCAAGAGGTTGCATCGATCATATCTTCACCCTCAGACAGATTCTGGAACAGCGACACTGCTTCCAGCAACCAACAATGGTTATTTTTCTTGATCTGAAAGCTGCCTTTGACTCTGTGGAC